GAATGATGAGAAACGAGCATAAAGAGAAAGGAGACCACGACCAAAGGTCGTGGCAAAGAACAAGGCGGCGCGTCATGTCTTGTATGCTAACAACGGGTAATCACAACACCCACACACATTACCCTCCCACCCATTCTTAGAGACCCCCCTTGCGATCAAGTCGAAGATATCTGGCCACTGCATTGAATTTTCGGAAATTGATCCACTGTTCCCACGGTTCAATATTTTAGGAGGGTACACCCCCGTGGATGGTGGTTACATCTTATGTACGTTAAACACTGTCTGCACATCGTAAGCCACCGCGAAGGGACGATTATTTCCACCATATGGCGCTCAGCGTCGTTGCTTTGCGACCGCATAACCGAGCCGCCACTTCATGATGGGTCTGGAGGAAAACAGAATTCAGCCTTGGAACTGGTTCGTCTCCCTTCTCATTTTGGTATCCTACTCAGCATCCCGAGGCCTCGTACACCGCCGCACGAAGCTGCTGCCGTCTGCGGAAACTCGCTTCGGCGCAGGCATGTGCCTCGATAGTCCCGTCCACACATACAAACCAGCTCTGAGTCGCACGCTTGCGAGCTGCGCGGGCCGAGTTTGCGCGCTCAGCTCGGCGCCTGCCACGTTGCGTACGCATCCCGAGAAGGGTAAGAGGCGTGTTTCTAAATTTCCAAGCTACCCCGGCGGGCCTCGAGATGAGTGATACGTACTCAATTCGACTAGATTCTGTGTTGGTTCGCTGCGCAGACCGGGGGTAACCGGTAAGTACTCATACTCATTGGACTTGATGAGCACTCCTAAGTTCGACTTCATTAGGATGCATTCGTGCGGAGACTGAGACGTGGTGAGTACTTGAATTCGGATTTACGTGTATTCGGGAGGGCTTACCTTGTGCGGACTGGTTTGAGGAGGAGGAGGTGTGTGGCGACGAAAGAAATAAATCTGAATAGGCACCGACGTACGAAGGTATTCAAACCACTTCACCCTTGAACGAAAATTAGAACACCTACCGGTCTTGAAAATAGGGCGCACATTTGGCTTGAGTGGGGATAATCAAACTTCAACGGCGTTGAGGTCGAACGGCTTTAAAACCTTATATAACCAGATGTACATATGCACCCAAGCTACATTGTATAGTAGTTGGTCACTGGCATCTTCTGGCAGCCCGCGCGGCGCTTTCCTCTATAAGAGAACAGTGGAATGCGAAGCCTGTGCAATTCCACGTTGTTGTATCGAGCCACAGGAGGGGTATCGAGCGACCAGGGAATGTCAACAGGGTCAACATTGACACTCCAGACACCGATGCACTAGCTGCAGCAACTTGGATTTGTGTTCGACTTCCAGTGGCGTGGGTAAGGATTAGCCATGGCTTACCCTTATCTAGGGCGGCCCGAGAGGAGGAAGCGCGATGAAGGAGTGAAGCCGGAACGGATTAGAGTGAAGACTAGCAAGCAAGGGAAGAGGAGCAGACTTCTGACCGGAAGGCTAGACTCGGAGCGAGATTTACCAGTGTCGTCACTCACTCATGGTCTGTCTACGAGAGACTACATGTAGCCGCAACGTTGCAGGTTCCAGGTCAGACAGGCTGGTCTTCAAGCTTCAGGTTCTTCCCCAGCGCGGAGCTCCCGAAATCCGAGAGCGCAGTGTCCGAAGGATGTCGCCGCAGGAAGACGTGGTCGCAGGAGAGAGGAAACGACCCGAAATGTTCCGATCACCCTGGTTGATCCGCATTTGCTCCGTTCAATTTCGAGTTGCTCGTGCGGGTAAGGTATCCGCCGTCCACCCTCGACGAACGTCACGTGGTGCGGTGTGACAATTTCCTAATCGGGATGACCTGACCAAAGAATCCTGTAAAATAATTAGTAGGCCGAAATTGTGAAAACCCTTCGTCAAAAAGTTGCTTTTTGTAGTAATCTTGATTCTGAGCGACAAAAAATGGCACCAAAGAGTGATTTGGCTGAAGAGTTAGCAAATCCGTCAAAATTAGCTACTTTTCTGCCACGCTGGCGCGCAGCGTAAGGCGCAGTCCATGCCGAAGGACTCGAAGCTCAAGAAGGCGCGGGCAGCCAAGCTACTGAAGAGTTTAGGCAATATAGGGACCCAGAGTAAACGTGTATGGGACGAGGTTAGCCCCAAAAAGCTCAAAAAATGGCTCTCCCCACGGAAAAAGCACAAGGAGAATGACCCAGTGTGTAGGCAATATGCCTTGTATTTACTCACAGTGAATTGGCTTCCAGGTTGAAGACACGGTAGATACGGAGTCGAGTCTAATTAGAGACGCGTCTGACGCGTCGGCTACGGAAGATCCATTTAGCGCGTCGATCCAATGTTTTCCCATCCCAGGAATGACATCGGAGTCACCTTCCGGCGCGCCGGCAGCCCGTGCATTCCGTTGGAAACTGCCAAAGGCTACAGTTGAGGAGGTCGAAGATGAAGATGACCGACTTTCCACATACACATTTCCGGCTCCTGAGCCCGCCCGCCTGTTCTGCTCACCCTCCTCTGCCTCTCTCCCTCTTGGTCCCGACAATCCCCCGACATCACCTTCCGACGATCCCCGCGACTCGGTGAATATTCCGGAGGCCGAAGATGAACTCTTGGCGACATCACCTTCCCACGACGACAATTACCCGAGGCCACTTGCACCCCGTCCCTTTCTCGAGCGCATGCACGAACAGGCTACGCGCCAAGGAACACTGCGGCAGGCCCCGAATCTCGGCGAGGCCAAGGCAGCTTTGGATTGCCTACAACGTTACATGCGCGGAGAACTGCGGGGTACTGATCTTTTTGGACTACGCGGTGTCGGCTACAAAGATCCAAATATCAGTGCTTTTACACGCAACCGACTGATTGGCATTCAAACAATGCTGAACTTTTATGTCGCCGCGGAGGGAGTTACCTATGGCCAATGGGGTGGATCTGCTCGGTTGGCGGCTCTTGGTCTTGGACGTGGTAAACACTGCGCGCGCGTACTGTGTGCTCTTGCGCGGCAGTGGATTATCAACCGTGAAGTTTTGGATTTGAATCCCTATGGAGAATGGAATGAGAGCATGCTGTCGGACGAGGATCTTGCAAACGACATCCGTCTTCATTTGCAGTCTCTTGGGAAAGAGATTACGGCCGAAAAACTGGTGGATTACTTGAATTCTCCTGAAGTGCGCGAGGAGCACAACATTGACAAGCCTGTATCATTGACCACAGCACGCCGTTATCTCGACGAGCTCGGATATAGGTAAGTCCTTGGTTATGGTCGGTTTCTGTTGCTTATATTCAGTAATTTGCAGATTTAAAGCTCCTAAGAAAGGCCAGTATGTCGATGGACATGAACGTCCAGATGTCGTCTATTATCGGGACAACATTTATCTCCCGTGGTACTTCAAGCTCCAGGAACGAGTCCACGTCTTCGATAATGACGGTAACCCCATCCACAACGACTTTAGCGAGACAGGACGCCGGGTTATCATCTGGTATCATGACGAGAGTATTTTTTATGCACACGATCGGCGACACAAGACATGGTATCACAAAGACTCACCGGCGAAACCATACCAGAAGGGCGAGGGATATTCATTCATGGTTGCCGACTACTTCTCCGCAGATTTTGGTTGGCTCCGTGATCCAAAGAATCCAAAACGCAACGCGCGCCGGTCCATGCGCCCAGGAAAAGGCCGTGATGGATACTTTACCTCCGTTGAGGTCCGGGAACAGGCAGCAGCCGCCCGCGCTCTAGTCAAGGAGCTTTATCCCGATTTTGACCATGTCTTTGTCTATGACAACGCTACTACTCACAAGAAGCGGTCGGAAGGTTCCCTTTCTGCGCGCAGCATGCCAAAGGGGCCTTCTGGCACTCGAAGGGGGGCCGAGTCCGCCAACTTCCTTGTCGAGGTGAACGTACGGGATGCAGAAGGGAAGCAGGTTCATGATACCAAGGGTAACCTCGTCAAGGAGAAGATTAAAATGTCCGGGGCGCAGTTTGACGACGGCACACCCCAGGACCTTTATTACGCTGAAGACCACCCACGTCATCCCGGCAAGTTCAAAGGGATGAAACAGATCCTGGAGGAGCGTGGGATGCACGAGTATAGTGATTTGCGAACTGAATGCCCTAATTTCAAGTGCGCAGATCCCGGTGAAGAATCAAAATGTTGCTGCCGGCGGGTGGTCTTCAATCTTCCCGACTTCGCAGCTACCAAGTCTCTTCTGGAGGAGGATTGTGAACGCGACAGCGTGGAGGTTCTTTTTCTGCCGAAATTTCATTGTGAGCTCAACCCCATTGAGATGGTGTGGGGATACGCCAAGCGGCTGTATCGGCTGAAGCCTGAGTCATCGTGGGAAGATGTGCTGGAGAAAAATACAATGGAGTCTTTGGACGCTGTCCCTCTGCTCTCGATGAGGAGGTAAGTTGGATTTTACTCTTGTGTTGCCTTACTTCCACCTGAATCCATATTGACAGATTTGTCAATCGTTCGCATCGCTTTGGAGATGCCTACTTTAATCACAGGCTTACGGGACCACAAGCGGCATGGATTGCCAAGAGATTCCCCGGCCACCGAACCTACCCAGCGTCCATCTTGGAACAACTCGACGCGGCAGGCATTAATTAGAAGTAAATTTCATACTAATTTCGTATCTCCTCATGCTAATTAGGTCTGATGGCCCTAAACTTTTGTATATAATTATCTTGTACATATATCCATAATCTTGACGAAGGGATTTGGCCCTAGGTACCTCGTTGTGTCAATACTAATATTTTTCGTTGGTCGCGCCCGATAAGGAAATGTGACTGTGACAGCACGTGACGTTCGTCGAGGGTGGACGGCGGATACCTTACTTGTAGAGGAAATAACGGATGCATAGACTCCAAGGGCGAGAGATGGAGAGCGAGGAGCTCGGTACAGTTTGAATTAAATAGACGTCGCTTGAATTTTGAGGTTCAACCTTGCAAATTAGCCGCAGGTGCTGCAACATATGCATAAATCAGCAAAAGGGAGGAAGGGCATCAAGGCCTGGTGGTGTAGTGGTTACACGTTCTTATGCAATTCACAGGATACACAGTAACAATGTTATAAGGAAGTGCCCTGTTCAACTCGGGGTCAGGCTATAAGTGCAGAGGTTGCTTTTTGTTTCTTTCTTTTTCTCTTTTCTCAAATCTAGTAATTCGGAAGCCGCGCTAGAGTGGTGGCAGCTTTTATTTGCATCATATATCTTAGAAGGTTGAGTCCGAACATGAATTTCCTGTTGAATTCCCAAAGTTACAAAAAACA